CACTAGCTAGCTAGCTATGTATACGGACTAGGCCTTATACGGACCATGAAATGAATATTGTCATCAGTACCCAATCACTGGATTACCAAGCAAACCTAAGTTTGGTCCACATTTTTAATCATATGTATGCTTAAAACATCAAAACACTCGTACCATTATTTGGTACTAATTTCCTTGTTTCGGATAAAGCAAGGACGAATTGGAATAAATTAACGTGACATATGGACATGTCTCTTTAGGTTTAAAGATCGTAATATTCCAGGAATTCTTTTCTTTTTCCTATGTGCTTATACTACTTATTTATTTTATTGAAAATTGTAATTAAGTAACTAAGGATCATGCAAATACCCATGACTATTTTCTTGTAATCACAATACGACTTTAAAAAAAACGTTGAAACTTGGTTAAGAAAAACTTATATGAGTTATGAATATCCTATTCCCAAAGCATAGGTTTATTATTTATTGCTTCGATAAGGATTGAGAAAGGGAAAGTGATAATGACGCGCTATATGCGAGAGTGTGATTGGGTTCCTTTAGGCGGTTACCCATTAAAGCAAAAGTTTCTAAATTCAAGGATGCATGGAAATACGGAACTGCAAGACAGTTCGAAACCACGCGCTTAAAATTGACGCGTGGGGAACAAACGCCACACAATAAGTAAAAAGAAGAGAAAGAGTGAGAGAAGACTGCTTTGATTAAAATAATGAAAAGAGGTTATTTTTTTTGGCTTAAAAAAGAGAACGAATTATCGGGAAAACACAAAAAGATAAGAGATAAAATGAAATAAAAAGTTTGGATAGTGCAAAAAAAGAAGAACTAATTTTTGAAAAAGTTGGATAAAGAGGAAACAGAAAACACAATAGTTTGAAACCCATACGTCATCTTGTAACAAACTCATTAGACACGTTGTATTTTTCTTCTTTTTAAACCAATTTTTTTTTAAAAAGCAATAAAGATAATAATTTCTTCCATTTATTATCCCCGAAGAAAAAAAAACAAATTTTGTTTTGATAGTGTAAATGTGCAATGCGATAAGGTTTTATATAAAAGTAAGGAATAACATTTATTCAGATGATATATAATATGCCAAATTTGAGACCCAAAAATCTGTGGCATACATATCATAATCGAAAAGAGAGAAAGAAAGACATAACACGTATCCCAATCGCCCATAATTATTAACATCAAAAAGTCACCCTTCAATTATCAAACTTTATTTTTAAACTTTAGAATAAACAATTGTGGAAAAAAACGGTGCCAAATAAAGATGCTAATCTATAAGTCCCTTTACCATATTTCTATAATATTGTAATAATGTAACGCTAGACCCCGTACTAATGTAATACTACTAGTTATAGATTAGTGCTTTGTTTTAAAACTCCTATTAAAAAAGCTATACTCAAACTAATTAAGTTTAGAGCCACCAAGACGACCAGAGTCAACGAGAGACACATCACATAACGTAGAGTACTTGTATAGTTCTCATCGTACGTCGGCGATAACGATTCATAAATATGCATTTATGACTCTCCTTTTTGGGGGTCGAACTGTTATTTTCAATGAATTTTTCTATACAAATATCTACCATCCACACATGAGTATTTATGCATGGTTACGGTATCAAAAGATCCATATACATTCACATATACATACGTATATTATACCACCCAAAAAATATGAATTTATTAATAAAAGTTTTTTGTCCTATCATTAGTCAATTCACGTAACAATACTTTCACTCAAATTAAAAAACGGGAATCATTGGTCTAGTGATTTAGTAAGAAGATATTCGTTTTTTTTTTTTTTGCAATCATCATAATATGTTAATATAATAATCGTGTTAGTACACCAAAAGCAGAATTATAAAATTTGGGAAATTAAATGGGACGTACCATTAGCAAGATCGAGTAGAAAATCAGCCGGATTCATTGGAAACGCCGGCGAGAATCCGATGGACTCGAAATAAGGCATAGCATCTCTTCCTTGTCCGAAAAACAAAGACTTTCCTTCACTTAGAAGAAGAACAGAATCAAACATCTGAAACACACGGCTCGAAGGTTGGTGAATGGACGTCACCACTGTCTTTCCTTTCTCATGAGCCAATCCGGCTAGTGTCTGGACTAGCCGGAGAGCCGCCGTGGCGTCAAGCCCCGAAGTAGGCTCGTCAAGAACAAGAAGACTCGGATTGATGAGTAACTCGTGAGCTATACTCACACGTTTCCTTTCCCCACCTGAGATCCCTCTAATAAAAGTGTTACCAACGATCGTGTTCTCGCATTTCCCTAGACCTAGCTCAGAGATCACCGACTCGGCCGCTTTGATCTTATCGTCTCTGGTTAGTGTTTTAGGTAGACGAAGCAAAGCGACGAAAAATAGGGTTTCACGTACGGTTAAGTGAGGGTAGAGTAGATCGTCTTGAGCTACGAATCCGGTACGTTTTAACGTCTGTTTCGTTAGTTTTCCGTCGTTTGCTAGTATTTTTCCGGTGAGTGCTGAACCATGGAGCCTCCCTGAGATTGCGTTGAGAAGAGTGGATTTTCCACTTCCTGATGGTCCAAGAACGGCCATAAACTCTCCCGGAGATATCATTCCGGTGACTCCTTTTAGTATCGTTCTCTCCTCCGTCGTCGTCGATCTTGTTTCAACATCGGACGGTTGGTTTTCAATTCCCAACAATCTCTTGATCTTCCCTGAATCGCCGTTTTTACCATTTCTCACTCGGT